ACTTTCTAGACTTTGGCTAGCCCCACTTGATTCATGGAGGGGCAGAGATGGGCTCTGAGGAACTTTCTTTTTCCTGGGGAGAAGAGTTCATAGCTTTCACCTTATTTTAAAAGGAATCAGTGATCCAAACAAGATCAAGAATCAGTGTTTTACAGCAAAAAGAAACTATAAAAAGAAACAAAACCTAGGAAGTGTTTTATGCACCTTTGTGTGTGTGTGTGTGTGTGTGTGTTTGTGTGTGTTCATGTGTATGTGTGGCATGTGTATACATGTGAATATGGAGCTTAAAGGAAAATCTTGGGTGTTTTCTTGTTCAGATGCAATCTCTCTCTCTTTTTTTTTTTTTGAGACGGGGTCTCTCACTAGCCTGGAACTCACCAAGTAGACTAGACTGGTTGACCAGTGAGCATCAGGAATCCTCGTCATTTTGCCTCCCTAGCACTGGGATTATAAGTATGTGCCATCAGGTCTCTCTATTTTTTTTTTTTTTTTAACGTGGGCTGTGGGGATCAAACTCAATGTCATCATGTACTTTACCCACTGAGCTATCTGCCCAGCCCTATCTTTGCTCCTTTAATGCTCATAATAACCTTGCAGTATTGTATCCATGTGTTTTTAAACCGGGAAATGAAGGTGTTGAGCGGTAAACAAAACATTTACTGATGTGCCTCTCCCCCTCCTTTTGGTCTCATGGTCTGTTAGAGTTGGGAAGCACGTAGCAAAAACGTTCTTTTCCCCACCTCTATTTTTTCTTTTATAGAAGAGGAAACAAAGGCCCAGGGAAGGAAATTTCAAATTCATGTGCTCAACTTAGAGCAGGGACAGGTTAGCAACTTAGTCTTTTGTGGAACTTAGAGGGTTTTGTTCTTGAAAATCAAGTGAGTATGGGTTTTATCAAATGCCAAATTGAATTAGTAAGAGATTCTCTTCTGCCTGAAGCCAAGCAGGATTGAATCCTGCCACCCAGTTTCATGCCCCACAAAATATTCAACCTGTTAGCTCCAGGAATATAGGACACAGGTACAGGTGGTTATGTGGCCTAGAAGCAACAATCTCAAGTGAGGGGAAGAGAGTTATTGCTTCAGTAAGTTAATCCTCGGCCGTGCACTCGTAGACCAGAGGAGTAAAGGAAGGAGCCTGTGGAGTTTAGCCATGATTCTGTCTCAGCACAGGGACTGGCCCTGATCCTTTGACACCTGCCTACCTCTTGATGGTCATGAAAAAATTGTCCCCTTTCACTTTTTTGGTCCCCCTAGATTTGAACAGTTCCCCAAACTGTGCCTGCTTCAGCTCCCTGGGCCTGGGGGCATACATCTCTCTCACCCACAACTCCAACTGGGACCCGGACCCATCAGGATGTCAGTATTCTTTGCTCAGACTACATATTCCTTGAGGAATACTTGGAGGACAACAATTGAGGTGAATGAATGGTGGACCTGTGTTCTTGCACCAGCCATTGGCTTCTTGTTTCCCAGTTCCCTCACCACCTCTCTCAGGAAGCTTGTTCCATGTAGTATGGAGTCCACCCACCCTGATGTGTGTGGATCAAGACTGGTTCCCCCCCGCCCCCGCAGATAGAGTCCTTGCCCTTTCTGAGCCCCATTTATTCTTTGTATCTGGGGAACTCAGTCACTGGGACCTGATGGGTGCACTCGGCTTCATGGCTCTGGAATGGAAGTCTCTGAGTCTACAAGGGAAGTGGTAACTAGGCTTCTCTTCGGGAAGCTTCTTGGAAGGAACATGTGGGTGTCTTTCTCCCACTGCCACCTCCAGCTCACTAGGATCTCCTCTATAGACACCGCAGAGGACTCTAGTCTCTCCCTCATCAGGACTTACAGCTCTAGAAGCTTCTCTTTAGGCATGTTCATGGTTAAAACTTTCACAAAAATAGCTTCAAGCTGGAGAGAGGAAAATAAAATTACTCTGGTGTCTTTGCCAAAAACAACAAAGCAACAGCCTGTGCGCAGCCAGCGCAGTCCTTGGCACGGCATGATGCTCATAGAAGGATGCGTTCTTTTCACTCCACTGACTGCAGCCACCTCACAGGCTCTATCTCTGAGGTCTCGGGCCACTCATTAATCAATTTATCTTGGCCTTCGAGGCCACCGAGACTCTAATGTTGTGGTTGAGACACGTGATTGCTCCCAACTCCCAGTCTTTGTGTCATCTTTGGTGACTCCTGAGAGTGTGACTCACACCTACATGTCCTATCTGTACCTGATACCTCCTGGTCATCACTCAGAAAAATGTGTGTATACACTATTTCTTGGGTTAATTGTTTGAAATTATAATGATAGGATAAACTCTACTACTCACTGGAATTTAGGCTTTTGTTAAAAATAAATTAATATGTGGATATTGTTTTGTTCTTTTGAATTTCACATATATTTAAACAGATTAAGGATGTAGATTGACCCTAACATGAACAAAGCCAGAATCCCCAAATCAGAAGGAGTATGTAGATGTGCGAGACCCAAAGAAAGTCATATGTGTTCAAGTAGTCATTGCTCTGTCACAAATGATCCCTCTTCATTTACGTTTTTCCTGAAATGAAGGTAGAAATCCATTGAAGCAGTTCAAATCGCATCTTAAGTTATACATTTAAAAAAATTATGATGTTGTCTTGGGTCTGTTTATTTGGAAAACAGGGCATTAGGTCATGTTGTCCAAAGGACCTCTGATGGGCAGAATAATGGCTCATGAAGATGCCTATGTTCTATGGTAAAAGAGGCTTTGTAGATGTGATATTGATAACCTCACAATGGGACAGATTATCCTGGATTATCTGGTGGGCCCAATGTAACCTCAAAGACCCTTTAAAAATGGAAGAGAGCAGCAGGAAGGAGGCCAGAGTTGGCAGGTGATGTGACTAATGAAAGGTCAGTGTCCTGCGATGTGAGAAGAACTCAACAGTCCTAGCCGACTTGGAAGGAGGGGAAAGGGCCAGAGGTCAAAGAACACAGTGGCCTCTAGAGGCTGGAAAAGGCAAGGACGTGGATTCTCCCCTGGAGCTTCTAGAATAAAATGCAATCTTGCTGTTATCTAGAGTTTAGCCTAGTGAAATCTGTCAGACTTCTAACTTACAGAACTTTAAGGTAATATAGTTATATTGTTTTAAACCATTATGTTAGTGATAATTTGCAGCTTCAATGATAGAAAATAACATAGGGAAATTTCCAGTCATGACATTTTGCACTCTGCTTTTAAGAATTAAAGCCCAGTTTGTTAGCAGCATAGGCAACCCCAGTAGAGAGAGAATTTGGGTTATAGGTATGTATGGGGGTCGGGTGGGGCAGAGCATTGCAGCAGAATTCTTTCTGAGTTGTCTTTGTCATTTTCCTTATTTCTGTCTCCTGGCTATGTTTATGCATGAGTGAGACAAGTATATATAACTTGTCCCATCTGCTAGAAACGGTGGCGGGGTAGAATGGTCATAGCACTTTGAATCTGAAAAGATCTTAGAGGAGCAATCACCTGGTCCTGCATCTTCCCTTCACGCAGGTATGATAGTATCATCGTCTGTGCTAGATAGCTTTAGTGTCAACTTGACACACCTGGGTTGAGGGAGCCTCAATTTGGGAATTGCCTCTATTGGACTGGCCTGTGGCCATGTCTGAGGGGCATCTTCTTGATGAGTGATGTGGGAGGGCCCAGCCCACTGTGGGTGGTGCCACCCCTGGGCAGGTGGGCCTATGTTGCATAAGAAAGCAGGCTGAGCAGGGGCCAGGGGAACAAGCCAGTAAGCAGCGTTCCTCTATGGCCTGTGCTCCAGCTCCTGCCTCTAGGTTCCTGCCCTAAGTTCCTACCTTGGGCTCCCTGATGAACTGCGACCTGGGAGATGTAAGCTGAATAAACCCTTCCCCGCCCAAGTTGGTATTGGTCAGAGAATTTTGTCGTAGCAATGAAGAAACAGACTAAGATATCATCCTAAAATCAAGGGAGTGAGCCCAGAGAGGGGAAGAGTCTAACTGTCATCAGCAATGGGTCAGAGTTGTAAACTACTAGTGTGAGACTCTTTAATTCATTACACTGGGGAGGGGGAATGGGTATTGAGGAGTTGTGGGAGAGAGTGAGACAGCATAGAGATCAGAATCCTGAACCCCTGTTTTGGTCTGTGCTATCCATGCATTGGTGCATTAGGGTGAAGACACAAGACACATCAGATCTGTGTCCTTCTGGGGGATGGGCTGGGAGTAGTAGAAATTGTTAGTATGTGGAAAAGTTTAGCCTAGATGAACTGTCACTGTGAAACCATCATGGTGTCATAAGGACAGGTATTCTGTCCAAAATAAGAAGCTCTCATTTGTCATTTGGAGTCTTCAAAAGGGCATGTCCCTGTGTTCAACAAAGGCACTTTCAACTTCACAGCCTATCAGGATACCCTCTTAGGTGTCACAGGGAACAAGGTACTGCAAATGTGACCTCTGAAGGGGCAAGGAAGGTCATTTTTATGGAAGTAGAGAACTGGATTTGAGAGAGGGTCAGATCGTGGTAGATGAAAATCCATACTGGGCCTGTCCAGTGTGAATTCATAGACAGGACTGGGCGGTAACCTGCAGAACACAGGCTGTGCCCTGTTAGTGGATCATGAAGTCCATTGGCAAAGCTGTAATCTACTGTTTAAAAAAATATTAGGATAAAATACACAGTGAAAGGATCTGGTAGAAATGGTGGTGGGGTAGAACGGTCATAGCACTTTGAATCTGAAAAGGTCTTAGACCAGCAATCAATTGGTCCTGCATCTTCCCTTTACAAAGGTATGATATTATCATCATCCTAAAATCAAGGGCATGAGCCTAGGGAGGGGAAGAGTCTAACCATCATTGTTTAAAAAATAAAAAAATACTTGGATACTAGGATAAAATACACAATGTACATTTTGAAAAGGTAAATGTTGTTGTGTGAGACCTTAAAAACACGTTATCTGTAGATTTGCACTTTTCCTTAGCCTTTACTGTGGAAGACCTAGATGAGGAGAAAAGTCAGAAATTATGCGGCCATTTCCACAAGACCAGCTTTTAATATGACTGTGATTCGAAGCACAAATAAATAAACTCCAAAGAAAATGGAAAAACCAAACTGAACCTTAGAACATCAAAACTGGAAACCATAAGACAAAGGAAAACAAAGCAAAACAAATTTCCAACAGATGAACGAAAACGTGCCCCCCCTTTCCAAATAAAAAAGAAATCAGACTGTACAGCTGGGTTACAGGGAGAGAAGAACAATGTGGCTTCAGATGAATACCAGGGTCACCCAGGCCACTGTGCCACCTCTATAGGTGCTGGGGAAAGAAGGAGGTCGGCGCTGGTCACCTTTGGTGCCGAAGCCCCATGGGCCAGTTTGGGGGATGGGTTTGTGGGCAGGTTAAGAACCTTCACCAACGACACAAGGATCAGACATCATAGAGAGTTCTGCAGTTTCCCTCTTGACAGTGCAGTTTTGATTCCAGTGCTGGGCTCAGGGTAACTTTGGGGCTGGAATCTAGTCCCACTGCATGGGCAGTGGAGTGGGCGCTGGAAACCGCACAGAAAAATACCATATACAAGACAGATGTGGAGGTGGTGCCGTAAGAGTCTGAGCATGCAGGTGCTTTGTACATCTGGCAGTGAGATGTGATGGCAGGTTAGTTCTTGGACAGTTCCAGAGTGTGACTCATCTGTCCTATGAGGGACACGCAGTGGGGCCCGGGGACGTTTCATGTCAGACCGGAGCGAGGTTTGGCAGAAGTTCGCAATGTGTGCATAGGGGGGCTCTTGCTTCTTTCTGTCATCAGGGGCCATCCCACCTGAGCTTGCTGTCCCCTGTCCTGGGTCTTGGGCCTTAAGGTCTGTTTGGAGGTGCTGGGTCGCCTGAGGGGTGTCAGCAGGCAATCTCCTCCAGGGTGCCCAAAGCTGTCTGCAGGGGCATATTCACAGTGTGGCTGATGGTTTCGGAGTGGTTTGGCATCGTGTCACAGGTGCTCTGCAGGGAAAGGGAAGGTGGGGGCTGGTCATTTATTTAGCATACATCTACTGGAAAGCTTTGTAAGGCAGAATGGGAACCTCTAAAAGTCAGATCAGAGCTGATCAGAACTTCAGGGTGAAATGTCCCAGAGAAACAGTCGTGGTCCCTGACTGAGCAGGGTGGAGCTGAGATGGCTTTACATCTTTAGGTGGCTGAGAGAGGTGGGAGCATGGGGGACCAGTCAGGAGGTTGTGCTAGGATTTGGTGGGATTTGATGGACATAGAGTTGAGGCGGAGGTGAAACAGGTGGAGGGAGGCTGCAACTCAGGCATTCTAAGGAAAGAGAGAAGGTGGGAAGGGAATTTCCACTTTCAGAGTACTTGGTGTCCACGAGGTGCAAGTGTGATCTCTCTTAATCGCCATGACATTCCTCTGAGGCTTAATGATCTTATGCAGATGCTCAGGCAGGCACAAAGGTAAGACACAGAGGACCTAGGATCCAACCAGGACAGCTGAGATCAGAGCCTGGGTTCTTTCCTTCCAAGCTGTCTTCTTTTTTTTTTTGTCTTTTCGAGACAGGGTGTCTCCCTGTAGCCCCAGCTGTCCTGGAACTCACTATGTAGACCAGGCTGCTGGACTCGAACTCTCAAAGATTCGCCTGCCTCTGCCTCCCAAGTGCTGGGATTAAAGGCGTGCGCCACCACGCCCGGCTTCAAGCTGTCTTCTTTGTTAGCAGAAGCTGCTTACTGTTCAACAGAGGTTGCAGGAGTCTACAGAATCAAAGTGAGATTTCTCACCTGGGAGACAGGTGAGACAGTATTTGGAATAGAAAAAGGAACCTGACTGTAGAAGGGGTTGGGATCCATTTTTGACTGGTGATTTTACAGGGCAGTGGGGACTTGATGAGCATGCTTCTCACAAGACTGAGGTGCTGAGTTGGGGTGTAGCACTAGGCAAGAAAAGTCAGAGTGTCTCAGTCAGTTAAGTCCTGAGCCCAGGAGTGGACTGAGCTGTGGAAGGAGAATGATGGGTAATGTGAAAATGAAGGATGCTGCCTTGGGCTGCAGGCAAAAGGCAGAGTGAGAGTGGTTAGAGGCACTTAGGATTCAGCTCTGATATCCAAGAGCTGTGTGACACTGGCCTCTAGGATACAATGGCATCAAATGCAAAATAAGGGTAAAGACACACCTTCCTCTAGGGTGGCTGCAGTGACATGACCCGCATAGGCACATAGGATAATGCCTGACCTGTAGCTGGCCTACAGTATTCAGTGGATGTAATGTGTATCACTACCAAGAGTAGTGGTATGTATGAGAGCTCATACTGTGCTCCCTTCAAATGGAATGGATGCCACTGATACTGTGTCTTTTTCAACCCTGGAGAATATGTAAGTAGACATATGTGGAGTCTCTCTTGTAGGACTATGGGATGAAGGGAGTAACCCTACTGGCTTGAAGAAGTTGACCTAGGCCAAGCAGGACTCACCCTTGGAAGTACTGCTTGGGTTCAGCTCTACTCATGGCTTAGCCATTGACCTCTGGGCATGTGGCCTAGTTGGAGTCCTTGGCTTTGGGGACTGTTAGGTTGTCGCAGGCCATGAAAAGAGATGCAGAGTCAGGTCCCTCCCTCCTGGCCCTGGGTCTGGTTTCACATTGCCTCCACAAGCCAGTCCATGGAGAGCTGCTCTTACCATGTTCTCATCATGACTCCCTTCGTCTTCCTCTTTGCCAAGCAGATCTAATAGCTTCTCTTTGATCAGCTGAAAGAAAGGCAGGAAGTGGACAGTCAGGCGGGAGGACGGTGCAAAGGTCAAAGGGCACTCCTCCTCAGAACTGCACTGGGGAACCACAAAGGCAGCAGCTGTCTGGGGGCACTGGACAAATCATGGTGAGAGCCCTGCCTCATGGATTGTGATCCATGCTCGCTCAACCCCACTTTTTGGTCTACATGGGATTTTTTTGCTCCAAACAGAGCTTGGAAGAGAGAGGGGGTGGGCCCCGAGTTGCTGTGTAGACTGCTTTCTCCTATGGATGGACAGTATGGATAAGTGGAAGGTTGCTGTTATGCTTGGACCCCCATGGGTCCTAGGGAGCAGCATAGGACCCCTCTCTGAGGCTGGGGGAACACTGCTATTATTTTGTTTTTTGAGTCAAGGTGGCATGGAACTCATGATCCTCCTGCCCAGTGTTGGGATGGCAGGTACGTGCCACCACACCCAGCTTCATTACTCACTTTCAGGCCTGATACCTCCATGGTTCACAAGATGAAGGCATGCCCCAGTTCATAGCACTCTATTCCAAGTAATAAAGGGTAGTTCTTAGCTATGCTAGCTGGCATGGCTCAACTTTGTACAGCTTTTCATGAGAATTAATAACTAAAGCAGAGCAAGAATCTGGCCTTGAAGACCTTATTTGGTTGGAGCGTTCATGCTGAGTGGCACATGAGTGGCCCAGGGGCCTGACTGACATGATTCCCAGGGGTCTTTTGCCTTCCCTGGGAGGCAGAATCGGGAGGCTGAGAATTAGAGATCCTGGGGTACTATGTAGCGTGGGCGTGGTTGAAGGATCTTTGGAACCACCACCCGTTGCAGCAAGGCATACCAGGTGTGATGTGAATTGCCATCTCACGGGCAGGGACATGAAGGTCTCTAAGTGAATACTGGGGCAGGGCAGAGCAGGAATGAACGTGCCCATAAGCTGGGTTTCCTGGTGCAGGTTAGGCCACTAACTCAGATGTTCTCCTTCAGGTATCTGGCTGAGCCCTGGGCTTTCTGCCTGGATTAACTATGGGCAAAGGAGTCCAGATTTAGGCTCATTCCTGCCTGGAGCTGGGGAGCTACAGGTGCTGACAAGTTCCAGGGCCTCTGATGCTGTTTGGGGAACTTTCAAGAGCTTAGCCCCAGCTGACTCTAGAGTAACACATCTTCCCAGACTGAGTGGCAGAGGCAGCGGCAGGTACCATAGTGTCCTCATTTGGGAAATGATGAAGATTGATGGAAAACGTCTCATCCCTAGGACTAGCTAGGCCATGGGAGACGTTACTTAGGGTACAGGCCACTCAAGGGAAAGGCCACTCAAAAGAACAGGCCACTTAAACAACAGGCTTGTGTGTGGTATGTATGCATGGGTATGTTGAGTGTGGCATGCAACTCTGTGAATGTGGTATGAATGTGTGTGGTATATTTGTGGTACGTGTATATTTAAGTGTGGTATATGCTTGATATGTATACATGTAATATGTGTAGGTATGTTGTGTATGTGTGCACATAGATATGAACTCACCCGTGATATGAAACCTAAGCCCCCAATCCTGCTGTGAGAAGGACTCAGGTCTGGCCTCCCCATAGTCTGGCCTCTTCTCATCCTTTCACTCTGTCCATGTAGGGTAGACTGCTCATAGCTCTTTCCATTCTCTGAGGAGAGGACCATGGCTGCCATTTCTTTTACATCCACCCCTCCATGAGACCCCTGCCCCATGCTTAGGAGAAGCACGTTCTGTGTGGGTTGAACCAGGCCATTGCCTCAGCTGTACTCAGTTTGGAGTCTGGGTGTACCACCATATGGTCATTTCCTTGAGGGAAACCCCAAATCTTACCTCATAAATATAATCAAAGAGCTCTAGTATTGTAAGGATACTAGCACCAATAAACAATCCCATTTGACCACCAATGTCACCTGCAGAGGGGGGGAAAAGACCAGAGATTGGGTTTTACTCACAGAGCTTTCAGGAAGAGTGAAGAGAAGAAGAATTAGGAAGCCAGAGCTCCTGAGTATGCCCCCTTCAAGGGTACCCTGGACCATGTCACAAGAGGGCCAGGCCTCTGACAGGTCTTCCGTCACACATGACACCGAAATCCGAGTATGTCAGCAGCCAGCAAGATTGGAGCTGAGCTAGCCATTTATGGATGAGGTTATTCAACGACTCTCAGAACCATACTGACTGGGTCTCAGGAGCCTCTGCTTTAGTAACAGAGATAGGATGTGGGTCCTTGTTCTGAAAAGGGGTGCAGTCTAGTCTGAGACACACTCATGTACCGTGGCTGCGGGTCTCAGAAGCAGTGGAACATAGTCCTCACTCATCCAGTTTGGCATGGTTCTTGGAGCCACCTGTCAGCCTTGGGATGAGGTTATGGGAGATGTCTCCTTTCTCTTGTTCAAAGGTGAATGTTTACTATGCTTTCTTGCTAGAGGAAAATTCTCTGGAATTTAGGGACTTTATTGGTCAAAGTTGTTCTAGATTTGTTTTCCTATCCCCTGCATCAAACTCTCCTGGGAGACTGTCATCTGGGTAGGGGATTAGACATACCTTAGGCCTAAAGGATCAAAACCTTAGGTCTGAGGTCTGAACTTTTTAGTTCCCTGTGTGGTTCTTAGCCCTACTGGTCCTTGATAACTACTTTCCTGGGAAAGAGGTATATGTACACGGACCCTGTAGCAAAAGGCTGTGTCTCTTACCAGGTTCTCAAAGGGTTCAGATACTCCAAAGGCTAAGGCATTTTGCTCCAGAGGCCGCATGCAGAGCATAGGGCTTTGGAGCTCTGGGTCTACAAGGGGGGCCTCCAACTTGTATAACTTAGACAAGTCCTGGTCTTCTTGGTAGCCTTGCCTCTGGAGGACATTTAATGGTGGCAGTGGTGGTGAGAAATCTGAACTGTTGAGTCCTTTCTGGCTTTGATCCATGCCCATCAGCCTCAGGGCTGGCTGGGGAAGAGGGATGGGAAAAAAGTACTCGGGGGTAGGTGCACAGCCCTCTTAGTAACTCCAGCCTGGTCTCTTGGCCTGAGGACTTTCTGATATGCAGATCAGCCCCACTTCTCCTGAGTGGAGCCCAAAACCCACACTCCCAGGTGGACAAGCAGAGAAGGTGTGAAGGGGATGCTTCCTAGCGGGGCTTGGTGCAGTGCTTCAGATGGTTTTCTTTTGTTTTCTCTCGTCCTCACTGCTTTCTCTAGTGCAAGCTTCTTGGGGATTGAGTATGTCTGTATGTATGTCAGGTGTGAGGTGTGTATTTGCATTGGTGTGCAGCATGATTGGGACAGAGTGGTATAGACAAGTATGTGCCGAGTGTGGTATGTGTGCAGGCAGTATGCTAGGCACACTGAGTCTATGCGTGTGTGAGTGTGGTTTATGGATGTGGATGGAATGTGCCTGCGTGTGTATAGCATGTGTAGGTATGGGTGTGTTCCTGTCATGTAGGTATATATGATGAGTTTGTGGGCATACAGGCATGTAGCATGTCTGCCTTAAGTGTATTGTGTGCATAGACATGCCTCTGTAGCTGTGTGGTTGGAACACGAGGGGCTGTGCATCTGTGCATTTGTGGTAGTTCTAAAGTACCACAGATATATGGACCTGTAGGTTGGCATCAGTGTGCATGTTGGGGTGGGTGCACTGTGTGTGTTGAGTGATGTGCACATGTGTGGATGTGTGGTGATGGTGAGAAAAGACTGGGATGGGCCTGATGGCTGAGAGTTTGTAAGCAGCACACACTTTTCTCACAGGAGGTACAGATGGCAGCACAATTTCTTCAGCGGGCTATTCTGGGCGGGAACAAGATGCTGGGAACAAACTCATCCTTATATCTGATACAGTTATGACAGATTCAGAGCTCAGGCCCTTCTTGTTTCATGTGTGTGTGTGTGTGTGTGTGTGTGTGAGAGAGAGAGAGAGAGAGAGAGAGAGAGACAGAGACAGAGACAGAGAGAGACAGAGAGAGAGACAGAGAGGAGAGAGAGAGAGAATGTGTGCACAAATTTGAGATTGTTCTTAGAGAAGGAAGAAGTTATCTTCAGGAAATGATGGTCAGATCCTACAATGGCGAGGGAAGGGTATGACCTATGCTCTGTGGCTCAGTGTCTTTGGCTACAATAACCTCTGAGGCCTAAGTGACAGCCATCTCAACATAGTTGGCACTGAGGGATGGCCCAGTCCCTCAACTAGAGGAAGTGTAGAAATGCTCATGTGGCCCTGATCATACCAGGTGAGGCTGGCATTCTAGCATGGTGACTAGCCAGGTACCAGAACCTACTATTGATGGACTTTCTCTGTGCTAGGGACTTTATCTCACTGCCATAGTAAACTCAGAAAGTGGGTATCATGGTTCATTTTGATTGTCAACTTCATGGAATCAAAATCACCTAAGAGATTAGTAAAGTCTATCTCTAAGTGGGTCTATGAGGGCATTTCTAGAGGGTATTAACTAAGGGGGCACAACTCTAAACATGGGAGGCATAATCCTACAGATTGTGGGCTTGGACGGAATGAAAGGGAAAAAGGAGAGAGCTGAAACAGAATGTTTATTCTCTCCCTCTCTCCCTCCCTCCCTCCCTCACTCCCTCCCTCCCTCCCCTTCCTGGCTGCTTCTTGGCTGCCTTGATGTGAGCTGTTTTACTCCACCATGCTGCGCCCACCAAGGTGGATCCGAAATCATGATCTAAAACAGATCCTTCATCTAAGCTATTTTTCTCAGGTATTTGTCACGATAATTATGTGACTGACACAGCGGGTGCTCTGATGCCTGTTTTGTGGATGAGGGACCTGAGGTTCAGTAAAGGGAAGATCATGCTGCATTCAGCAGCCCTTGGATTCAAAGTCAGCTCTGATCTCTACCCCTCCCAGGATGCTGCAGTCACTTGGGTCAGTCTCAAGGACAACAGCCATTACTCCCAGGCCTTGTGTCCTTTCTTGACAGTGGGTGGGAGCTAGCAGAAGGTTGAGGGACTGGTCCTTTGACCATCCACTATCAAAGGACTTGTGGGTTTCCAGATGGGTTGGGACAAGGTTGAAATTAACTCCCTGTTCCCCATCTGTTATGTTCCATGAAGACCAGGACAGCTAATGTGAAACCTGTGTGGAGATGGCAGTGAGGTTGGTGGCCATCTAGAGAGAGGCAGCTCTTCTTTCTTGTTTTGGTAAAGACCCTGGGTTCAGGGAGCAACATTCAGCTTCTCAGTGTAGCAACACTGCTCTCCTGAAAGAGCTCCATCAGGCAACCTGACAGTGCATATATCTGGGGACCGCCCAAGTTAAACATCCCCTCCTTCCTTGCTCTTGCCTGCATCCAGGCCCCAGGATACTAACTCTAACCTGGAGACAGAAGACTAAGAAGAATCCAAGAGGGCAGGGTTCAAACATCCTTGTAAAACCTTTATGCTCACTCCCCATTGCACCGAGAGGGAGACTGAGGCCTAAATTGAGGATTGAACTGGATCTGAAGTCTCCACCATGGTGGAGTTCTTCCCTTTCTAGGGTAGGAGCAATCACATAGAGTAATTAGTAAATTAAAAAGTTTAACTTCGGAGGCAGCTTACATATCTGTCTGCCTGCCTCCCGCCCACCTCCTCACCCTCCTCCCTCCATCACCCCCCATGAGATGTGGAAATTTGTGTGACAGACACTTCGACTCACCAAGTAAGGCAGCAACTTCATATGCCTTCTTTTGTTCAATTGTCTCGTAATTGAGAGCTTCAAAAAATATATCCAGAACAAGGATGTTCTCTCTGCAGAGAGAAAACATGGTTAGAGCCCCCAGCATTCACAGGATGTCTAATCCAGTTTTCCTGTGGGTGGATGGAGAAGTGGAGGACAGGGAGCGCACAAAGGTGGAACTCTAAAATAAGGTCCCTCACTTCGGGACCAGAGGCTCTGATCATCAAACTGACCAGGCTTGTCCTTAGTTTGGGTGCCTGTACCAGATGAACTCCTGAGCAGCCTCTCTCTGGCCACTCCCGAAAGTCCGCATTTTCCTTCTGGGATCCCTAACAAGCCTCTCATGGTGGGAGGCCCTGCCCTGGCATTGCTGAGTCAGTTGCCAGAATTAGGGAGAATTTCCAGGGAACAGGCCCACGCCTGGCAGAAGCCCTGTGCTCCCTCTGTGCCTCTCCTACAGGGAGGTGTGTTAATGAGATACATTTTGGCAGCAAAAGTCATTCCTGCTTGTAGAATGTCTGCTAAGCAGCAGGATCTAGCATTTCCTACATTCTAGTCTCCTTCTATAAGACTTGACATGCCCTCCAATCCCCTTGTTTCAAATCTGTTGAGCAGAAGCTGTCTCTGGAAGAGGCCTGGCGACTCTCCTGGTAGGAAAGAGTGGGTCGGGGAGGAAGTAGCAAGCCTCTGGTAGCACAGGGCTGGCCCAGGAGCTCATCAAGTTCTCACCGATTCTTGACTGGTTTACAGCAACTAACAGGCTCCCTTTTCCCCATGTGGCGCCCCATTCAACTGCTGCCTGGAGGGTCTTTCTGAAACTGTTTGGTTGATTCAAATTAAACAGGAGCACAATTCAGTTCCTTAGTCACACAAGCTACATTGCAAATAACCCACAGCCAGGCATGGCCAGGGGCCACCACATTGGACACCACAATTGTAGAACATCTCTATCATTCCAGAATGTTCTACTGGAGAACAGTATTCAAAACTACAATTTGATAGAAGCTATTGCCATTACTTTTGATTATCTACCAGAACTAGAGAGTAAGACCTGTTGCTGAAGACGCCACATACTTTGGTTGCAGGACATAGAGAAATCAGGCTGGAACTGAACCGAAAGCTTTCTCCCTGCCGGCTAGTTTTCACAGTACTGGAGGGCACTATGCAGGCTGCCAAGGCAGAAAAGTCAACAGGTCTTATCCAGTTGTAAGACCCAGTTGTAATCCCGTAAGTTACAATAGCAACCCACAAAGCCAGATATGTCCACTGGTGCGATAGTGGCATGACTGTTATGGGGATAAGGCTTATGGAGAGCATCTATACCTGTTGTTGTAAACTTTGTCAAAAGCTCATAGCTGGGGAGGTTATAAGCCTTAGGGGTGAACCTACTACTGTTGTTTTGCTAAATGGACATGTTGTCAAACTGCCTTCTAAATATTTATATTTACACTTATAGATTAGTGCTACTCTCAGCCTTGGTTAGAGAAGCTTCTGTTTGCAGCAAGTGACAGTTAATGTAGAGACTCATTAACTGGCCAAAGTGCAAGGAATAAGTGTTGAGTTGTTCATCCCTAAATGGGAAATCTATATCAATTCCCATCCCTCAAGGCTCAGGGGCATCACGGAAGAGGCAAGGAAAAGAATGTAAGGGTGGGAAAGAGAACTGTGAAATACTATCTTCTGGCTGTGACAAGGCCACTGCACTAACTCACAGTGGCTTTGGTTACCCATGCAAGACCTTTGGGGCCATCAACATTCCAGCATGGATGGCGGGGAGCTCATAAGGACCCACTCCTCCCTAAGGAGCTATTGGCAACTAATGGCTGCTAGGGGAGGAGGAGTCATTTTCTTCAGTGGTGTGGCCACTGGCGACTTGCTTATGCTCTGGTAAATAACTGCCATCCGTAATGATGCCAGCAACCCTAATTAAGATTGACGGGTCACAAAAGTATCTTTCAAACCCAAAACCAAAACAACTGCAAAAAGACACATGAAAGTAGGAAAGGGACTTGTTGGGAAGAAGGGGTTCAGCAGGAGTAAGAAGGGGTGAAATAAGGGAGTAGGGGGTGAAATGACACAAACACATGATCTGTAAGTGTGAAATTGTCAAAGAACATACAGACAAATGCATAAATAGAATGCAAAATTGAGGAGCTGGGCATGGTGGCCCAGGCCTGTACTCCCAGCACTTGGTAACTGCAGCAGGAGGATCACGAGTTTGAGGCCACCTCTTGAACACAGTGAGGCGTTGCCTCAAATGAATGAGTAAACAAATAAATAATAAAATGAAAATTGAGCCGGTCACTGACCTCCTGTCAGTGTCTCCCTGTTCTAATATAAAGTATATCCCCTGCACCCTTCTTCACCCTCAGTTCATCCTTCAAGACCCTCTTGTCATGAGGTATCCACTTTTCCCTTTGTCTCTCATGTGCCCTGTGCCAACTGTGTGATGAGCCTCCTGCCATTCCTCTCCTCCTGTTCATTTACTCTGTGAAAAGGTATTTTTTGAGTCTTAGTTCTGGGCCAGATGCTTCAGTGGCCCTTGATAAGACAGCAGAGAGCTTCTCATCATGATTAGCGGCAGGCAGGTAATAAGGAAGATTCATAGCAGGAACGCATATGATATAACATGGGCCTGTCCGTTGGAGACACTGGTTACCCTTAAGAGGCCAGATCCCACAGCCTGAAGCACTCAGGCCACCCCAACCCTGCAGCTCTGTTCTTAGGACAGTTAAACTATTCTGTGCTGTGGCTAACAGCTGCTAATTTATGGTACCTGGCTCCTCTATGCTCTTTATCATGTAGGTGATCTAAAACTAAATCACATGTAAGACTTCCTGAAAACTTATGAAAGTCAGACATCCCCTATGTTTGGGGGATTTCTTTGAAGTTTCTTTTTTCTGGGTCTCCCCATCCCCCATCCTCATGGTGGCTCTAGCTTTATCTTTTTCACTCTTATTTTAAGATATTCTTGTTAATGAAGTCCCTCTCCGAGTTTAAAAAGGAAGCCCCCTTCCCCTTTAAAACCCCAATCGTGTTGTTCCTTTCTAATGCTCTCCCATCTCAAGGCCTGATCACAGTCTTGAAGTTCTCCTGATAAACCTAATTCTTTCTTTAAAAGATTTATTTTTATTTATGTGTCTGTGTGTCTGTGTACATGTGTGTGTGTAGGTGCCCGTGGAGCCCAGAAGGGGCATTAGATCCCTTGGAACTGGGATTACAGGAGTTTATGAGTTTGTGTCCAATATGGGTGCTGGGATCTGAACTCCGGTCCTCTGAGAGAACAGCAAGCACACTTAACTGCTGAGCCATTTCTCCATCCTCTAAACCCAATTCTTGAAGGATAATTATGTGCTATCTCCTGTCAGCTCCTTTCCTAAACTAACCAATGCCACTCACGCCGTGCAATGCCTGTGGAGGTCAGAAGAGGGCATCAGATCTTCTGGAACTGGAGTTACAATGGGTTGTTAGCTGTCACATGGGTACTAGGAACCAAACCTGGGTCCTCTGCAAGATCACCCAGCGCTCTTAACCACTGAGCCATCTCTCCAGCCCCATCTATTCTTAGATTTAACAGCATAGTCACACACTGCAGCAAGTGTTATAAGGAAAACATTAGAGTGCCTATGGAGAAAAATAACAGGAGGAGATAGCAATCTAACTTTCTAAGGAGATGCCACTTAAATGGAGACAGGTGCCATGAGGAACCAGCTAGTTAGAGAGTGGCAGGAAAAGCATTGCAGGCAGAGGGAACAGAAGGATCAGGATCTGACTGGAGAACTACACATCCTTTAAAAAGTCAAGCTTTCCTGGACCTCACCTTATATAAACTGCAGTTAGCCATGGCTTTCCCTTAGTGTCTGCATACTTACAGCTAACATCTTCCCAGACATCATGCTCTATGTGGCATTCAGTCCTGCACTTATCTCCCCAGGAGGCTGCAAGCTCTTTATGTCTTTGTCTTCTGAGTTTGGCACGCCGCAGGTACTCGATTAATATTTGCTAAACTGAGCAAACTGCTTGCTTTTGCCTCTTCCTTTATGGCCCCCAATTTCCTCCAGATCCATCTCTCCTCCCCACTTAACTTACGAGATATATTTTTCTGATTTGTTAAATTTCTTCTCCAGGTACTTGGCTGACGTCTTGCTGGGAATCTTCACCATGGAGAGCTCTTTGTTGTATCGGGTCAGATTGCAGGGCGTCCTGCAGAGACAGTAATTACTGTCCTTTTCTGCCAGTAGACCTGGAGGAGAGAGGAGGGGGCCTTAGGCACAGGGACCAAGACCTCTGTCCAGCATAGCTGCATTCTAGGCTTTAAGAAGCAACCTGGGAGGAGGTGCTGGGCCCCAGGAGGGAACTGCAGAGGGGACTGGGTGGTAGATTGTTCTTTTTTCTTTCTGCTTTCTGGTACTTTCCTCTGGTGCTTTCAGAACTGTTGAACATTGCTACTTTTAGAGAAATGGTTCCAAGGAAGGCCTGGCCCCCTCCACTTCCCAGAACTTTCTCCTCTGTGTCTAGCACCAGAGTTCTGACCCACAAAGTGGGCCACCAAGAAAGTTAATATGGAGGCCATCGTGTCTGGAACCCAGGGTTCCGTCCTTTCCTATTGGGGTTCCAGCATAGCCAACAGCACCTCCTCTGCCTGCTACAGTGCCAAATGGGCAAAGATCCTTAAATTCTTTCCCAGGAGCAACCTATCCCCCACCCCTGCTGGAATCCAACTCTCCCTCTCCTCTCTTCTTCCAAGCAGACCAGATGGTCAAAGGGGCTGTTGCCCTCTGACAGACTCTTCATGACCAAACTTCAATCAGATTCTCTAGCAGCTTCTCCATGACCTAGCCCAGCTTTGGCAGGAAGCCTGCTAAATGTAGCTTAGCTAGAACCCCCATTTTGATACCCTATCACCCTGGCCTGTCTCCAGCAAGAATCCCAGCCCTGTGAAGTGCACCAGTCCCCTCTCCTGACATCTCCTTTGCATTTTCCCATCTCCTGACCCCTCATTGCTGGCTATGAATTCTCAGCTGTCTGCTCCATGCTCAGCTGAATCTTCTCTCTTGTCTGTTGCAATAACCTTGATGCTTAATTGCACGGATCCAAAATTTTCCTTACCATTTTAACAAGAATAATGGTTCCTTTAGCACTTCCCTTCCTAACTTCCTCCATCCTCCCTTCCCTCTCACCTACCTTCTCTCTGTTTCCTTGATGTATCTTAGTGTTTCAAGTCACAACTGGGCTTTGTTATATTTATTCCAAAGAAAAACTGAGCTTTGCATACATCTGAAGCCGTTTCCTCTCCTTGAACCATCTAGAACAGGAACCCAGCTTTGCCCCCACTTAGTGCCACCGAGTGCAGCTGCTGAAGGAACTGGAGTGAGTATTGTTTATAGTTCTCTCCACATTTTCCTCAAGTCATGTCTGTGCACTCCTCCTCCCTCCTGGTTTTCCAGCTGGGGAACCTCAAACACCCAGAAGGTGTGGGGAGGAAACGGGGGAGAAAAAACACAGAGAAGGCAGCAGTGGCAGAGGGCTCTATGCCTTCTGTATACATACATGGCAGGGAGCTCTGACCTCCCCTCTCTGCCTTCCCAACGCCTCTGGACTCCACATGGGAAATAGCTGTTGCTTTGGAATAAGCTTAGCCCCTTCGTGTGTGTGAGTGAGTGTGTGTATGTGTGTGTGTGTGTGTCTGTCTGTCTGTCTGTGTCTGTGTGTGTTGGCTTCACCAAGCTCCTTTAGGTAACTGCCCCCCTGCCCCTTGGCCATCTTCTCTCTATCTCTGTCTCCTCCAGTCCCTGTGAAGTCTGCTCCTCTCCATCACCACCTTTGCATCTCCTCTCTTCCGTCCCTTTTACAGCCCTCATCCACCTGCATGGCTCCTTCCTGTCCCTCTCCTTTCTTCCTCTCCCTCTCCTCTTCCCCGCAGCAACTCCACTCTGCAAGGCCTCTTTGTGCTCTTCCCTCCCTGCTTCTTCTATGGTTGACCTTCGTGTTCCCACCACATGACCCCACCATCTCATCTTCACCCCCACTCCCTCTGCCCTCCAGTACTGACCGAGGGCAGGCTCTGCACACTCCTTGTGCTGCTCAGGGGTGCAGAAAGGGGCGTCCCCTGCAAAGAAGGAAAGCAGAGAGTTGAGCCACACATACAGAATCATGCATGCTAGGAGCGCTTCACTCTCTGGCCTGGTTAGTGAACAACTTCCAGTGCCCACAGAGGCAGCAGTTTCCAGGGGACAGTCTGGAGGGTGCTACTGGTCAGTGTCCTCAGAGCTGGTGGTGACTTTTGATCTGTTCTGTGAGGAGAAGCTCACAAGACCTCCCTGGCTTATTTCTGGTTGCTCTGGTGGGTGAGAGGGTAGCTTGTATGGAGAACTGGGGACAGGACTGAGTGGGGTGGGGTGGAGGGACGCTCCTTCTAAGTCTGGGCCCACGGGATCTCCTTGAACCCTGATGGTGGCCTTCTGAGTGAGAAAATGTGGGACTCAGAATCTGGCTTTCCTAGACAGCAGGACTGGAGGTGATGAGGTGGCTTTGGAGAAGGGGTCTGCCCCATCCAGAGGCTGGCTCTTCTAAGCACACCACCGCGATGTAAGTAAGGGGTGGCTCTGTGTCTCCTCACGGCTCTGCCCTTCATTCTGCACAGGTGCAATCTTGGGTTGTGTCATGGTGGGATGATAACAGCCTTTCTTTGCCTGCTTTCCTTTGGCTCAGGCTTTGTGGAGGAAGCTCATAGTTGGTGGCTCAGTCTGAGCATCAGGCAAGAAACCTTTGCTAGTACCGGGTCTTCTCTGGAATTTATTTGTAGAAATCCAAGATCTCTTTGTTTGCGTTATTTTCCCTCTTTCCTTTTTTCTTTGTGAAATGCTACAATCCATCAAAAACGTCTTTTCTGAACCATTTTCTCCCAAATCTTATTTTTAGAGCTGGAGGGCTGATACACTTCTCTCTTTCCAATCACAACATTTTAAATGATATGTTTCCCATTTTGCTCCGTCTTCCAGGAAACTCAGAGTAATTTTAGTGTTATTATTTAAAGCTTTTGTAGGTGGGAAGTTAGTCACAGGCCTAGCTGGTGCTGGGAGAGATGTGTTCTTTTCTAGAGGCTTGAGGGGACAGTCCTTGCTTTCTGGTTTCTGTAAGTCACCTCACATTCCTGGTTGCCCACACTCCTCAGTCTTCAATGGGGACAGAATTGTGGTACTCTTAACCTTCCCCAGCCACCTTCTGATCCCAGCTGGGGGAAGGATGCTGATTTCAAGGCCCCCAGAAGTTAATTGGGCCAAGTCCTATGGTCTTTCCTAATGTTAGTGACCTTAATAGTATTGCTAAATAAAGCCTCTTTGGACAGTGGCAGTTTTCAACAATTCTAATGCTAAATCACTAAAAACATTACTAATGACCAGTGAAATAATTCAGAACTCAGCGATGAGGAAACTTACTTGAAAGCTGTTAAAACAAAAGCAACTGGTGAGAAACTAAGCATCCAACATGAGAATTTTATTAAATAAGCTTAAATCATGAGGACAGAAGCATAAATTGATGCCTGTCAAGCAGAGCAGCACTGTTCTCAGCACCTCGTAGGTCTTTAGCTGATATGAGTTTTATCCTACCTTCTCATACATTAATATAACCACCACTGATTTCTGTAGTTTTCAAGACATCTTTATATTCTTATGTTTTAAAGACAAGCAAATGAGAACATAAAGTTAGTAACTTGTACCAGACTGCACAGTGAGTGAAGCCTGGATTGGAAGTTAAGATCCTTCCTGTAGCCCCAGCTACCCTTCCACACCGCCACACCAAACTCTTGCCCAAAACAGCTCTCATTCCACACTTCTGCCTTTGACATGCTGTCTGCCTCTTATGAGATGGCTACATGCATTATTAGTCTGACAACGGAAGTATCAGCAGAGACACATTTATTTGTTCACTAATAGACTTTGTCGCACTTGAAAGAGTGCTAGACGTTTGGATGCAAGAAGGGAAACATCTGGGTGAAAGTCATAGACATCTGGATGTTTAAACAGGCAGGCACATTATCAGGATGGAAAGATGGACAGCATCCTGTTATCTGGACACTGAACTTGAGGAGGCAAAAGTGGCAGACAGCTGGCAAGCATATGGAACATAGGGATAGAGCTTATCTCTGCATCTAGATTCTCTTGGATACTAGGATGCTGCCTTGATTGCTGGACTAAGTCTTTCCATCTGCATTCTGGTTGTTACACACCATATCATAGTCTCCCCAGAACAATGTCCCTTTGGATCCTCAAGGCGTGAGTGAGGTGTTTCCCATCAGGGTGAGAAATCCCAAAGGCCTAGGGGCCCTGTCACCTACCTGGCATGTGGACCATGCGGCAGTTGCAGTTCTCCACAATGTAGCGGGTCTCACAGTCAATCCGACAGGCGGTGATGCTGTAAACAGGAAAGAAGTCCAGCCCCATCTCTGAGGACCGGCACTCACCCCACGGTGGGGGCAGGTATGTGAGCTGCAAGACAGACAGGAAGGGGCAGTAGTCAGTCATGAAAGATGCTCTCTCAGCCTCAAGAGACTCAGCTACTTGCTGGTCCACCTGTTCAATCAGCAAGCAAGTTATTGAGTATCCCCAACAACCTAAACTCCACGGTGGACCTTGCAGACTTTCACCATCTGGCTCCCATAAGGGTTTTCCCATCTCATCTCTGTAAACTTTCCAGAAATGTTCTCTGCACAGTTCCTTTAAAAAGATTTATTTTTATTTATGTGTCTGTATGTGTCAATATATGAGTGTGCACACATGTGCATGCAGAGGCCAGAAAAGGGCATCGGATCCCCTGGGGCTGGAGTTACAGGCCATTGTGAGCCACCCACCTTGGGTGCTGGGAATCAAATTCTGGTCCTCTGAAGAGCAGCAATTCTCAACCACTGAGCCATGTCTCCAGCCCCATCCTCAGAGTCTTTTATCCATGTTGTGCCTTTTAACTTCGCTGTCATCTTGTGACCCAGCTAAATTCTACCATCGTGGCTGGGGAGATGAGAACTTCAGATCTAGACTTGGAGTATAACCCCCCAAGGGAGGAGGATTAAGATGAAGTGGCTGTAGGTACAGCCACTGTTATTTATGCTCCTGATCATGCTGTGGATGACACTCCACTGGGGACAATGACACTCTTATTCTCAGAGGTCCAGTGACCACAGATTATCTTCTAATGTCTTTAACACTTGCTTGACAGGTAGAGTGGTAACAGGTGAGAAAATCAATGGTTGTGAAGCACCTACTCTGCTGTTGCTATTAAGCCTAAGGCAAGCATTTTACATCATTTTTTAATTGAATTTTTGTGATTTTTTCGATTTTCATACAATTCAATTTGGTGGTATTTGGATCTGCTTCTCTATCTGCTTTCCCCCCACTGCTCTACCCCCAGCAAATTTAATGTACTCGATTATATTCGTGTGTGTGTGTGTGTGTGTGTGTGTGTGTGTGTGTGTATTAAGGCTTTTGGAGTCTAATTTGTGTCCCTAAATGTCCTTCAGTGTGGGTCCATCCACTGGAGTTTGGTTAACCTACCAAGAGTCTTATCTTTGAAAGAGACTGTCTCTGCCCTCCCAGCAGCCATTTGTTGACTAAAGTTCCTTAGGTTAGATTAGGTTAGGTCTTCTTACTCCCTTCCCCTTGTCTATGTTGGGATTTTGTCTTACTAGAGCTTTCATGGGAATTTTGCATGATGTCACGATTGCTGCGAGTTCATATAAGTGACTGACCACTTGTCTGGAAAACTGTTTTCTTGTGGTCATCCACTATACCTTTTTAAAATTGAAGAATAAAAATGTACAATAAAATGTACAAATTTGGGGTTGGCAGATGGCTCAGTGGGTAAAGTGCTTCCCATGAAAGTGTGAGTACCTGAGTTTGGATTCCCAGAACCCATGTAAAACCTGACATGGTATTGCACATCTATAATCCCAATGTTCCTGTGGTGAGATGGGACGTGGAGACAAGAGAAGCCCTGGAAGTTCAAAGGTCAATTAACTTGGTGTACCAGGTGGCAAGCAACAAAAGACCTTGTCTCAAACAAGGTGAAATGTGAGGACTGACACCTGATGTTATCCTCTGATCCCCACACACATCATGGCACACACACACACACACACACACACACACACACAATGAATGCACACACGCACATAGAGTACACATTTTAAGTACACAGTCTGAGTTATGACAAATGTATATCATCCACCTGTATAACCACTATGTCAATCAAGACATGGAGCATCACTCTAGAAATTCCCTTCATGTCTCTTCCCAATCAGTCTTCCACCTGCCCTGGCAATCACTCTCATGAATTCTGTTACTAATGCTTGGTTTGTTCTCAGATTTTACATGAAGAACAGCATGCCCTATGCATTTTTTTTTTTTTTGTACTGCTTCTCTCACTCAAAATGAAGCTTTGCAGTTGGTCCACATGGTGGTGCACCAGGAGCTCATTCCTTCTTATTGAGTAGTTGAATGAATGCACCTCAGTTTGTTTATCCATCCACCTGATGATGGGTGCTTGGATTGTTTCCAGGTTTTGGTAATTATGAGAAAGGCCTTATGGGCATTTATTTAATTTATTTATGTATAGACAAGATGTCAAGTAGCACAGGCTGGCTTTGAACTTGCTTTGTAGCCAAAGATGATCTTGACTTCCTGATCCTCCTGTTTCTATCTCCCGAGGGGTGAGATTACAGGCGTGCACCACCCACCATGCCCTGCTGAGTATTTATAATTCATTTTGTAGGCATATATTTTAGTTTCTCTTGGGTGAATGGCCCAGAGATATTAATCTAGATATAGGAATACTTTTTTTTGGTCTTTTTGAGACAGGGTCTCCTTGTAGCCCCAGCTGTCCTGGAATTCACTATGTAGACCAGGCTGGCCTTGAACTCACAGAGATCCGCCTGTCTCTGCCTCCCGAGTGCTGGGATTAAAGGCATGTGCCACCATGCCTGGAATAATTTTATAAGAAATGGTCCAATTATGATCTAGAGGGGTTCTCCTATTTTATATTCCCACCAGGAGTAGATGAGAGGTTTGTACTTTCTCCACATCCATGCCAACTCTTTAATTTGTCACCTTGTTAATTTTGGTCATTCTTGTTCAGCTGTAGCAAGTTGCTGTTCTGTAACTCTCTGATGACTGACTATTCTGAGCACGATTTATTTGCTTATTGGTTACTCACATACTATTTTTTGTGATGTATATTAGCCTTTTGTCCATTAAGAAACCCCTGTTCATTTTTGTTTGCTTGTTTGCTTTTGAGACAGGGTCTCCCTGTAGTTCCAGATGGCCTGGAACTTGCTATATAGAGTAGGCTGGCCTTGAACTCATAGAGATCCACCTGCCTCTGCCTCCTGAGTGCTGGGATTAAAGATGTATGCCACCATGCCTAGCTACTGTTCCTATTTTTATGCTTATTGTTGAGTTGTAAGAATTCTCCAAATGGTCTGGATTCAAGGTTTGTGCCATATATATATAT